AGCCGTGCACTGCAAAGCCTGTGGGGGGCAGGGGAGACGCCCTCCAGCAGAGCCGGGCAGGACGTCCCTTGCCCAGGGCTCAGGGCTGCTCCTCTGCAGGCATCAGGGCCAGCGGGGTCCCCCAGTGCCCTGGGCGAGCTGTGTGGCTGCTCAGGATCCACCAGGCGCCTCAGCCCTGAGGCTGGGGGAAAGGCAGGCCCTGTCAGGCAGTGCTGGGGGTGTGGCAGGTGCAGGCAGCTGGGTGGACTAGGCGGCAGGAGAGCCCCAGGGTTAAGTGACATTTTTTTTTTTTTGTACTGGGGTTGAACCCAGGGGTGTGTTGGGGACCCGGCCCAACAGGGGGTCTCAGGAGACTACAGATGGTGGGCGAAAAGGGGTGGAGAAACAACACAGACACAAAAGTGAAGGTGCCGAATCCCCATCTTTACTTGTGAAGTTAATGATATAGACTTTTCCTTTTGGCAGGCTCACAGTATTTTGTGGTTACAAAACAGGAATCATTATTCAAAGAAACAAAATACTACGTAGCTACAATTAGATAAGAAGAATGTATCTTGGCTTATACATAGGCAAACATTTTTACTTTCAGTTTGCGTTTTGCTTTCAGCTGTTTCTGCTTAGTTAGCTTTTAATAATAGTTAGAAATGACCCAGACTATTGGCCTATACCTTGACTGTTCTTTCTTGACTTACTGACTAGAATCGTGCCATGGTTACAGCAAGTGGTTAACTTGAAAAGAGAGGCTATTGATTTTAATCAGACAAGAGCAAGAGCACAAACCGTTGTGCACAGGAACTAGAACAAGTTGCCCAGTACTAAGCACTAATCTGTCTTCTTAACATTGATTCTTCTTCTCTAGATTTTTATTTAATTTCTCAAAAACTTCCTTGACTGTTTTTCCTACAGGGGGTTTTTCATTAGACATTAACAATTTACGTTCCACAGCTGAATCACTGCATTTAGAGCAAACAGATCCATTCTTTAGAAGTAGTTGCATTAATTGGGAAAGTCACGTTTTTTCCTTCCTACTTAATGGTCATATGAGAGGTCACAACTATTCTTACTAAAGGAATACAGAAACAAACCGGCCCATTCCCAGAAACATGCTGCGCTCCTCCAGAGGAGGGACGCCTGGCGCCATCCACCTCAGTAGGGCCTTGCTGTTGCCTGAGTCAGGGGAGGGGCGCAGCAGG